TCTCTCTCTCTCTCTCTCTCTCTCTCTCTCTCTCTCTCTCTCTCTCTCTCTCTCTCTCTCTCTCTCTCTCAGCATTACATGACATATATGAGTCACACCTAATACTGATAGCACTATTTTCAAAATACTTCTCTCTCTCTCTCTCTCTCAGCATTACATGACATATATGAGTCACACCTAATACTGATAGCACTATTTTCAAAATACTTTTCCATCAAGGTAAGCTAATTGAATCACATCCAATGTCAACTTCACACAAAATTTTACATACATTCCTACTACCATTCATACCATCATGTACCTAATGTCAAAACTCAATGAAATCCGTGGTCACTCCAATAATTTTGTATACTATAAGCTCTAACCTCTACTCACCATCAAATGTCTATGTAACATAGCATGACAGTCTATGTTATCTCATAAAAATAGTAATCTCAATCCCCTCAAAATCCTTAATAATCCTATTTAACTATAGGTCCATATTGTTACGTATTCTTAAGTTACCTATCATAATTGGGACAATCTACCTCGATATAACCACATAAATCTCTCACACCTAATTGCTTGTCACCCAACCAAAAATTCAATCTTTAGAAAAGACGATGATAACTTTCTTGTAAGTCTATACCGAACTAGTTCACATCCCACATTCATATCTATACTCATAGATAAAAATAAATAAATACTTCAAGTAAAAACCAAGGCCTTATACAAGAGTTCTTATTCCTTCATTTTTCTTAAACTCTTAAATTCTTCGCATGACTAAAATTTTAAAAAAATCTTGAACTCTTCAATACATCAAAATTTTGTTTTATTTATTTATTATTTATTTCTAACTCACTTACAAGTCTTATTCTTTTTCCAACAACACATGACATTTTTACCTTATCCTTTAAATAAAAACTTTAACTAATAGGTATAACAACTAAAAGTAAGCAATTTACTACTCAAATTATTTTTAAGTATTTTATTTACTTATTTTATTTTTCATAATTTAAATAAAATTTATATAAGATAAAAATTATTAGTTTTAAAGTCATAGAAGTCAGGACATTTTAGTACAAACAAGTAATGATTTAAGAAGAAAAATTATAGCCAATTTTAAAGTACTAAAATACTAGAAATTCACAAAGATTTACTAGCTATGACTTTAAATAATTTTAACATTATAGGAAAATAATAAATAACAATTTTATCTATTGTAATAGTGAAAAGCTCAATCAATATTTATAAAAATATTCATGCTTTAAAAGTAATATTAATTAAGTGTACTACTTTGCACGTATATGTCACACTAATCAATGATAAATGTATACACAAAAAAAACACAACCATTTTAAAATTTGTACAAAGTTAGCTCAAATTCTATTTCGCTCAACTCCAACTTTGTCGTTTATTCTATATAAAAAAAAAGTAAATCAAAATTTGTGTGGGTATGAATATGATACCCAAACTTCTCCAAATATTTTGGGCTCATTTTCAGGTTAAAAGTTGGGCAATTTTCACATATAGCAAATAAAAAATTTATATTTGTATGTTATAGCAAAGTTTGCATAATTGTGCTCCATAGCAAATATAAAACTGTATAATTCACTATACATATACAATTGTATAATTCGCTGGCCTAAATTGTATAATTCGCTAGCCTATTTTGCTGCAATTGTATAATTCGCTATCCTATTTCACTGCGATTGTATAATGCACAATTGTAAAATTCGCTGCCTATTTCGCTGCAATATTTTTATAAAATTTGCTCTGCATACAATTGAATCGAATTAAACTGTATGTATATTGCATAATTATAAGTGTATAGCAAGAAGATATATGTTTTTCTCTCGCTATATACAAAAACAGAAACACAATATATACACTTCGGTTGTATAAAGCTAGAGAAAATTGTATTTCACTGCAATTGTATAATTCGTTGGCCCTTTTCTCTGCAATATTTGAAGTAAAATGTTTGTAAATTGTATAATTAAGTGTATAACACGAAGATGTATATTTTTGCATGTGTATACACAATTTTCTCTCTATTTATACAAAACAGAAACATAATTTATACACTTCTGTGTATAAAGCGAGAGAGGCGAGCGAGAATGGAAAGTGGCGAGCGAGATTTTTGGGAGAGAGACGCCTGACAAACTTTAGCTAACGTTTGCTATGGAGCACAATTAAATCAAAACCTATCTACTCCATTTATTTTAGGTTATTAATTTGCTATTATATACAATTTTTCCTTTGAAGTTTGAGGCTCGATGTCTTTTAAGTCAAACGCAATTTTTCAATCAAGGCTCAAGGTCCAAACTTATATATAGTTTGAAAGATCAATTAAAATAATTAGAAAAAATTACGTGATTAAATAAATTTATATTTAAAATTATAATAACTATATGTTCCCAAATTATTGAACAAATGGCCGATAGTTTCATTTTTTGAAAGGAACGAAAAATTTTATACTCAAACTTAGCTATGGTATAAAATTAATTCACTAGTTGAGTTACAGAAATAATTAAGCACTAAATATATGAGGCATAATTAATTTTAAATCCGTTTAAAATAATATACTCTTTAGCCTGAAAAAAATAACAATTTCAAACTCTACTAGTAATTGCATTTTTGCTTTTTTAGCGATATCTAACGTACTTTTCGAAAAATGATTTGAAACTCATATTTTTATTCTTAATTTCAAATATCTCTAAGGTTTAAATTCAATTACATTTGTTTTCAAAAAGTGAAACAAAATTCAGTGGTGATTATATATTTTAAAATTTTGATTTACGTGTTTTTATTAATCAAATTTTTAAAAATGAACCAGTCGCATATTAGATCTATTGAAGTAAAATGACATAAGAATTTATCAAAATTCTTCTCTTCGATAAAGTACTTAAATGTTTGACACATGTACGATAAGGTTCATGAAAATAAAGATGAGAAGGATGTCACACCAATCTAAAATTTCAATTAATTGATAATAAATTGCAAGTTGCATCAAAGCAAAAACAAATAATTATCCATAATGTACATTACAGGTTCGGTTGTGATCTTTAATTAATTTGTATGAGATTGCAGTTAAAAGTTAATCGGTATAATACATAAAAATGATCCTTAGTTTGATATTTACAGATAATTATGCTCTCTAACTTTGAGTGTACATAAATAGTTACTTAAATTTATATAAAATTGAACAAGTAGACATATGTGTCTTACATGACATAATATACATAGGACGCCATAGGACACAAAATTGACATGTAGGATGAATATGTTTAATTGTTCAATTTTATTCAAATTTAAATATTTATTTGTCCACATTTACAGTTAAAAGCCATAATTATTAGCTAACGTCAAATTAAGTTATGTATTATATATCTAAGTCCATCTATCTTTTTTGGATATACATAATGAATTTAAAAAAAAGGTTAACTACATTTTCCAATAATTAATGTATGTTATAAGTGTGACAATTAACTTTAATATGTGTCTTGATACACTTTATTATTACTACTATCTAACTACTCTTTGCCAGTCTATGCATGAAAGCAACATAAGAGCTGAACATAATTAAATATGTCCACTTGAAAAGATAATTACTGGTTTAGAAATAGTTTAAATTAATTAAGGAACTGTTATATTTGAATGAGTGTATTGTAATTTTATTTAGGGAAAATTAAGATTTACATTTACTAGGAGAAATACTTATATGTTTTAACTCATATTTGAATTTGTAATCACCTACTTTAGTTCATATTTGTGTTAAAATAAACCACAGCTCTGTATACACTGTTATATACTTTATACATGCACTATTTAAACATCATTATTCTTACTCTAAAAATGTTCAGTGGTTATTTTCATAAGTATTTTGATTAAATTGACGAGAGAAAAAAAAGAGTAATATTTTCATATGAAAAAGTTAGAAATTAAGTTTTTCTTTGAACTATGCATTTGTTCTATCATGAAATGCTTCAATGGGAAATGAAAGAGATAAAACATGTTTTATAGCATAAACTTCACACATATTAATAATGAGAAAAATATTTATTTCTAGTTGAAAAATAACTCATTGTATATAGTAATATTTTTTCTATAGTATAACATTATATGAATCAAAAACATGACAACGTAAAATAATATTTTAAGTGGGATCTATATTTTTGAAAATTTTCCTATTAATTATTATGGGGTTTTAACCATTGCATTAAAAGGAGGTTGATCACATTAATGTAATCCTTCTTATATTTTTTGTACAAATGAAGTATATTTCTATTTTCTTTAATCGTTGACTGGTGATATTTCATTGAGCTCGATTAATTTAAATATTCTCGTGAGTAGGCTCACTAACATTATTGAAACAATAATCCATTCTTAATATTTTAACACGTATCAATATTTTTTATTAAAGACGGAAGGGAAAAGGCATAGATTTTCCTTCAAACTTGTCTTGAAAAGTCAGTTACACGCTTAAAATATCATGATGATCTATTACACAGCTGAAATTGTTTTTAAAGTGATATTAATGACTCCTTCCGAAAACAATCTCAGTTTTTGTGTGAAAAAATATTTTACACACGTTTTGATGACGTAAATAATATTATTTTATATATTTTTAAACCTTTTTCTTTAATCATTTACTGGCGATATTCCATTAAGCTCGATTAATTTAAATATTCTTGTGAGTAGGCTCACTATCCATTAAGCTCGATTAATTTAAATATTCCTGTGAGTAGGCTCACTAACATGTATTGAAACAATAATTCATTTTTAATATTTTAGCGTGTATCAATATTTTTTATTAAAGACAGAATAAATTAATCATCTTACCATAACACACAATTATTGATGATTGATATTGATGAAAGAAGTATTGGTTCAAATCCTTTTAAGAATTCACAACCACAAAAAATGAAGAGTTTGTTAATGATTTTGTTATGATATTTTAGGCTTTTAATTAGCTATAACGACTTATTAGCTATATATAACCATTATTTGATTGGATATATAAACAAACTAATTAGGCAAACACCATTTAAAGAGTGGTTAACATTGGGTGGCATGACAATTGACAAGTGATTTTGACAATTTAACAAACATGTATGAGTTTTACTTTATTTGGATTCACTCAACTTTTCCATAGAATACAATCGTTTCATTTCTTTATTGGTTATTTATTTTGACTTCAATTCAATTTTCCTATCACTCTCAACTTGCTTCCTTTATCAAACTTTCTTGTAATTATCTACAAACGAATTTAATTTAGAATTTAAAATTTAATGATACATGTTTGATATTTGTATTGAAATATGATTAATATGGATTTTCACTATATAGAGTATTTTATTTATAAGATGTGTTTTCTGTCAAAGATTTTTTCATATCAATGACTTGAAATTGTGACATCTGATTAAAGGAGGAGGAGTCCCTTCCAGAAGCGAAGCCAGAATTTTCAATTAGGGGGTTCAAAATTTGTAGAAATAGATAGCCGAAGGAGGTTCGACATCTACTATATATACATATAAACTTATTTATTAACCATGTATAAATGATATAACTTTCCGTCGAAGGAGATCCCTTCTACGAAGGTAGCTCCACCCCTGGTCCCTTCGATTGTACTACATCCTTTGGTGGTAAAATTTATGAGATCATTTATTCCTTTATATTTTTATAATTATGGATTCGTACTTATTATTTGTCATAATGTTATAATTTTTTGTTGATTTTACATATAAATTTTGTGCATCATCAAGAATACTGAATTTGATATTAATCTTTTTGCATCAAACTTTATGATTATGTCATAAAGTTATGAGTACATATTGATGTTAACCTTTCACGATTAATTTAGACAGTGTCAGAGTTGAAAATTTTAACAGGGGTCAAAATTTGAAGAAGTAAACACACAAACTAATCGAAGGGGGTTCAACTTCTACAATATAATACATAAAAAAGTTTTCTAAATTAAAATAGTACTCCCATCTTTTTCACCGAAGGAGGTTCGGATGAATCCCTAAATGTATACTAGCTCCGGTCGGAACTTAGGTTACACGTATATATGCAAAGAAAAAATTACTCATATCCAATATTTACACCATATAAATGTACGATATGGATATGCTAATATAAATATCAATCGTAAGTAACTTTAGCCAAATACTTTCGAACGTTTTAACGGCGTAGTTTTATAATTATTAAAAGAAAAACATAAGATACCACGTCCTTAGTGAAGTACCACAATATGTATCATTAGATTCATTTTTATTACTGAAGTCAATATATTGAAGCAACTCAATTAAATTTTGAGTTGTTTCTATTAATAACAATATCCAAATTGTAGAAATATTTCAATAAAATACGTTATGAAATTCATTTGGACAAGAAAGTCATCTAAGTGTCCCATATCTCCTAAAAAAATATCAAAAATTTCAATTTATCTTTTTTTTAAAAAATAAAATATTTTATGCGGTGAACGTGGATCGAACACGTGACCTTCAGATCTTCAGTCTGACGCTCTCCCAACTGAGCTATCCCCGCTTATTAAGAAAACTCAATAAAGTTTATCACATTATTTAAAGTTGTTTTCATCTTTTATTAAGCCATTTTGTCTATTGAACACTTCACTTTTAACAAATTTATACTAGCTATTGAATATAAATAGCGATCAGTCTAAAAATGATATTTCAGTATCTCACATGCTGATATTCGAAGAGAAAAGAGCAAAAAATAATGTGGTAATATACAAATAGCGATTTAATTTTTGTATTATTACATAATTTTTAAGTTTAGTCTCTATTTATTTGACTATGCATATTTAACCTTCAATTTTTAAAGTGAGCAATTTTGACGACTGACTTTACTTTTTTGTTTTTTAATAAAATATTATTTTTTTTAAAAATAACTAAAAGTTTATTTTAGTTATTCGCTTAGTGCCATGTGTCAGTAAAAAGAAATTACGCATGCACTTTCAGAAAAAAATAATATATTATTCGAAATGCTTTACACGCCCAACAAAAGTGAAAAGAACAATTTTGCCACATCAATAATTTGTGTTTGATTGGAACACTTAATTGAATTTTTTAGGAGTTCAATAGGTATTAATTCTAGTTAATTAGACATTTGAGTAAATTATGCCAACAATTTTAATTAAAAAGTCATTGATGACTTAAAGCATTTCAAATTATTGAATTAGGCAATTGGATAAGAAATCAATAATGACTTTATAGGGTTGATTTTTATGATTTGAATGATCATTTGTGAAATTAATTAATGAACTTTGAAATTACACAAATCTATTTATTTCATAAGATATTGCAGGATTTTTGTAAATTTGAAATTCGCTGCTAGGTAATTCACACGAAAGGAAATGATGATTTTTTTACGAAAAAAATGTATTTTCTAAATTGAACGTGAAAGTAATTTTCTATCCTCTCGTACTAAGAAAAGGTCCTTTCAATGCTCTAATGATCATATCATATATGGACAAGATTGTCTCACGATGTTTTGCGCTCAACTCGCGGACTGCTTTAATGGGCGAACAAGCCCAACCCTTGGAACATCCTATAGCCCCAGTTGGCGAAGAGCCGACATCAAGGCCAGGTGACAAATCTTCTTGTCAATGTGAACTCTCTCGGGGAAGATGAACCTATTATTCCTAGAGTACCTTTTATCCATTGAGTCACTATCCCTCCACTCAACACCGTCGAATCACTAAGGTCGGCTCTTGTTCCTACTCGACGAGTGGGTGTTGCATTAAACTCCTTTCTACCTTTGCACTCGAGGGCCAATCTTCGTTCGGAGTGAAGAAACTTTCGCACGCTTCTGTTACCTTTTTGGTGGCCTACGCCTTATAAATTTTACCAAGATGATATCAAGGGTGTTATTTGGTGTTAGAGCCATAAAATCCCCATTTGAATGGACACTATTAACAATACACCAAAGAATAACTTTTACCAATGTTTACATCCCTACTCTGTCAAAAATAGGGCAAAACGTCGCGGCAACTCGAAAATAATTAATTGATTCAATTTTAACAATGTTTTAAAAATAAACGAGTTTTAAAAAGAGTCGCCACCTAATTTTTAGGAAAACTAGGAAACCAATTATTAATCTACGAAACCAAATTGATTCTAGGTAAGGGGTTTAAGTTATTCCGAAGGGAAGGGGTTAAGCACCCTTCGGAATCCACAATTGTGGTTCCCGACTGAATTCATTTTTTTTCAAATTGAGGAAGAATATAAAATACTGTACAGATATACTAAACATGCAATATACAAAATAAAACAAAATAATAATCGGCCTAAAGTTTGCCTAACGTCAATATTCACAAGATAATGAAATTAAAAGTATGATTCGAACTTCATTCGAATAATTTCAAGGAGAAGTACCTCCGCGTACCGTTGTGGTTTCTCAGACGATCGAAACCCGGTCTTTCGCCGGAGTTCTTTGGCTGAAGCTGCTGCGATTTTGCTGTTGCTGCTGCGTTGTTTTCGCAATTGTGGTTGTTGCTGGTGGCTGCTTCTACTTTCCGGTGGGATGCTGGTTTTGCTAGATCAGAGTTTCACCAATGTTGATTGGCTCACTGCCTCGCCGGAGCTTGCTGCTCGTTGGCGCATGGAGTTGCTGTTATTGTTGCCGGAATCGACATTGCAACGATGAGGGTCTGATGATGTGAGCTTCAAGCTCTCTGGCAGCGTCGGAGAAAAATGGAGGGGAAGCACAGGCTGATGCTGGTTTCGCTTCTCGTCGGCAGCTGCTTGTTATTGGTGTCGGAGCTCTCGCTGGAAAATGGGTATTGAGCTGATGGTTTCAGCTGCTGGTTTGGGGTCATTTTGACGAATTAATAAGGGTTGTTTTGTAGGGGTTTCGGCAGTTTGTGGTGGTGTGGTGGTTGGGAAGTCGATTTTCTGGTGGGGTTTGGGTTAGAGAGG